TCTTTCTGCACAAGGCAGGTTCATGGCGCTCTTGTATCCAGTCTCAAGACTTCCCACATCCACCACTGGCAGTGAGGTGTGTGGTCACGATCACAAACGTGGGTGCACTGGATTTCATTGCATGAGAAGTTTTAAACTGTAGAAGAATTGTTGCTAAGTTCCGAGGAAGGAAAGCAGGATCCTAGGGGGATAAAGGGTATTTATTTAGGGCATTTGTCTGAACTCCTTACTCAAGGAAAAGGTTTTACCCATTGCATTTAATAATTTCCAATTCCTGTCCTTAAAGATGCTGTCCTCTGCCCAAAATGTTGAGTGACATCGTAAAACACTCCCCAAACACAAGTGAATCTCTCTGACTGCTGATCCCTGAACATTATAAGACAATGAAACAAATGGACCTGAACTTTGTCATCACATAGACTTGGGAGCCCACTGACGGTCCAACTATTTCCTATCAATGAACCGACTACAAACAGAACAGTAGTTCTTTACAACATCCCCTGCAGATACAGAGCACAGGCACAGCTGTACCCATATATAATGCATTTTATACCAATATACCTATCACTGCACAAAAGGCAAGTGATATCTTTGCAGGGATATGTTTCTTTTATATTCCTTTTACCATGTCTGAAACAGGAACTGTACCAGTAAGACCATCCTGTTGCTTATCCCCCTCTGAGCTAGCACCGGTTCACTGAGATTTATTTTATTTCGGAATATATACATTACACCTCACGCATGAATGTGCATGAGAGGTAACACATATATTCTGAAATAAAATAAATCTCAGCAAACGTACAATATTTCTGTCTGACATCCGGGTGAGCTCATCACAACCAAGTTTATGTCCCTGACTTGTACCCTAGTGGTAAAATTAAACTAACATTGAGTTGATTGAGTTTACACCAATACAGATTTCCAAATATAGACAGGCTCCATCTTTGTCCTCCCGTCCCACCCCCCCCCCACACTCTTTTAATTTGGCTCTCTTGAGTTTTGATAACTGAATCACTTCCCCCTTTGTTTCTCTGATTTCTTTCCTAATCTTCTGCTCCTGAAAGATGCTTAGTTCTTGAATCCCTGTACAAATACACTTTCCTTTCTAAGCTTCTCACCAGCCAAACAAGGTTTTATTTGTTTATTTAATTTGACATGCCGAGAGAGAAATGATCCCATTTCCTATGGATTATCGAAGTAACAAATAGCTTTACAAGAGGGTAAACAAAGTAAAACTCATGCTGAAACTCCTTTGAACCAGGGGCTTCCCTTTCACGTCCCTTCCTAATGGGAGTCTGTCCCCTCTCCTCCCCGCCATATGAGGGATGACTCTCTGGTTACTCTGGACTGCTGCCGCTGCTCTCAGACCAGCCCACTGCTGAGCTAGTCACCACCCTTCCCTTCACCAAACTCACTATGAACTTCCCACAACATGGTCAGGCAGCTTTGAACTCACTCTGTGAATGAGCATTTTCTCCATCCTGTCTTTGGCTCCAAAGCCCAATTCCGCCCCCATCAATTTGCCATTTTTGCAAAGATTTGGAGATTAAAAAACCTGGCGATGAGCCCCGGAACCTCCATGGAGGTAGGGATGACACATTGATTTTTGCTGGGACCTTTGTCCGACTCAGGCACCAGTCATGGACACCTGAAAGCATCACTCTGCACACACACACCTCCCGCAACATGTATTTCTGGAGAGAAAAAGACAAAACAAAACAAAACAAACGAAAACAGGCCTGAAACTGGGCTAAAATTTAGAAGGGCTCAGAGCCAGGGTGCTGATGAGCTCCCCCCAGGGCAACAGAACCCAGCATCGTGCAGCTCACACCTTTTTGGGGTGCTTAGGTTTGGGGGCTGGGGCCTGGCTGGCTCCCCCCTGCCCCCAACATCTCTTTCTGTTTATTACTCTTGCCATAATTGGGAGGCATGTGTGGATGAATTAAACATAGCGGGATGGATGAGAAAACTCTCCCTCTTAGCTGGCTGAATGAGCAAATTTAACTGAGCCTGTTGCTCACTGAGTATCGTGCCGACATGCCAGGGTCCGGTTTCCTTTGAGCTCGCCCTTTCATGCAGAGTCTCTCCGTGCCCCCTGCCTTGCTCCGCACAATATCAAACAGCTGGAGTTTCTGTGGCCCCGAGGAGGAGCCTTTGCATCCGATGGCAGCAGCAGTGGGAATTTTGCCCGGGATCAGAGAAGGATGGGGCTGATCCGGGCAAGCTGGTAGCTGAGGATCGGGGGGCTCTGACACCTCCCAAGGGGGACAGGTGTCTCCCCCCCCAGCCACAGCCTGTGCCTGGTCAAGGCCCACAGTAAAAGCTTCCTTATGCCAGAGGGAATGGGGCTAAAGGACGAGGTTTCGGCTCTCACGCTCCTTTGAGCTTCAGCCAGTGGCACCCAGAAGTGAGTTCTGGTGGGTACTTCAAAATAAATGGGTGCCAGCCTAGAGCTGGTGTCCCCAGCATGGCAACGGGGCAACTGCCTGCAAGCAGGACTGCCGCTGGCTTGCCTGGGGATGCTGGGGGGACACGGCCACACCATCCAGCATCCTGCTTCCATCCCAAGGCATTTCTTCCAGCGTTAACAACAGAGGCAGGTGGGTAGAGCAGCAGAGGAAGGGTGCTGCTGCGCCTTGCATTTCCTCCTCCCTGGGGATAATCAGGGAATGTAATCCTGCAGGGCTGCAATCTTTTTTCCCTAGCATTAAACAAGCCCTGGGGCACTTTTCTGCACAAGGTAGCACTAACTCCACTCCCTCCCCTCTTTCTTCCCACCTCTGTAAACTTAAAACTAGTCAGGACTAATTCAATTCCTGTTTTAATTTAGGACAGTTTACGACTGCTCTAAATTAAGAAACCACTGTTTTTCAGATGAGACAGGTGCTAGAGGTCTCAGCACTTGTAAAAATTAGGCCACTTAGTGAGGTGTCTACATACGGATTTAGCACCTGAGGACTGTGTTACTGAGCAGTGTAAGAAAAAACTTGGGAGTCTGGGAAACAGCTCTGTAAAAGATAATTAGACAGCAAAGTTAACATTTCAGAGGAAGGAAGTTTGTGTTCAACCTGATAAGCCTACCCATTCAAATGCAAGTTGAAGAGCCATCAATACATATTTCCTTGGAACTCAAGAAAACCTGCAGAAAAAACAGTTTTGACAGTTTCAGTACCCCGTCATAAAACAAGGAAATAAGAAACCCAAATCCAAACATAAAAAACCCCAGATCCTTCAAATCATCCTCATGTGTGAGAAATGGGTAACCCAGGAGCACAGCCCCTCCCACAGTGCCACTTAAGCAGAAATAACTCTGAAACCTAATGATGACATGAGTATAAACTTTAACTCTTTCACCTTCTTCCCTGACTGAACAATGTCAGATTTAGAAACTACAGATCACGTTTATCTTCTATGCTCTGTGCATGGCAAAGATGTGAGAAACCTATCTTGACTTTTCAGTGACAGCACATTTGCTTCAAGCCAGCCTTTACTGAAGGGCTTTGAAAGACAGAGGATTTCCCTGCATCTCTGGGTAAATCTATATTTTGGGGCAGGTACTCATCCTTTGCGGTGGGGGAAGGCAGTAAGGAAGAGCTGGTTTAATCCCAGGGAGAGGTGTCATTGTTTTTTTTCTGAAAATTTGTGGCTGAGACACCTTCCCTGACAGCAAGCACCTGCCAGGAGGGATGGTTGGAAAGAAAAGGTCTTTTTCTTCTTGTTTCAGTTTTCTCCATATCACTGCACTTCTTAGGGGTTGAGAGAAGGAGTCAGTCACCTTCCTTGAAGCCAGCTGGCTAAAATCATGCATAGACTGTTAGACTTCCATGGGAAGGGCCTGTCATTTAGCAAAATATTAGCCCCCCCCGCGCTTTGGTGTAAAACTGCAACTCGAAATAAACTTTTGGGCGCATCTTATTTAACCTGGATGCATGCACAAAGTTTTGCCTTTTACATAGTCATTTCTCTTCTTCCTTCTCTGTTTCTCTGCCTCCACTTTTGTTTCGGGAGACTTGACGCCCTGATCCAGACGATCTGTCTCAGGCCCCACAACGTGGCGAACAGGATGGGAAACCTCTCCTGGAGGGAATGAGCCTGTGGGCGACGGCAGGCGGGGAGAGCACCTCAGGTCCCCTCACAAACATCGGGTATGCCTGTGAGGCAGCTAAGCTGATGCTTGAACTTCAGCCTCCCAGCAGGGGAAACTGAGGCACGTAAGCGACGGCAGGGCTTGCCTTATCCCACCCAGCAGCGTGCCACCACCAGAGCCTGGAGGAGGGCAGGACGCTGGGCTGGGCATCCCAGTGGCGGTGCCCACCTATGGTTGCTCCTACGTCCTTCCAGCAGACACCCGGCGGCGTGGGGACAGTCGCAGGGGATCCCTGGGAAGCTCCACAGGTGGTTGGAGCCATTTCTACCCAACTCTCCGGGCTGGGTCCCTCCTGGGGCGAGGGGAAGGTCTGTCTCCCAGGCGGGCTGCCACTTACAGCAACCCGTTGCACTCCAACTCAGGGCTGCCCGAGGCCCCGGCCCCGGGATCGGTGCGGCCCGGCCGCGCAGCCAGGACGAGGCGGGATGGCGGCCGGTGCCGCGGCGGGGGGGGGGGGGGGGGGGGCTCCCTCAGCCGCTGGGGCCTGGCGGCCGTCCTCCCCCCCCCCCCACTCGGAACCGGGGGGGGGAGCCACAGCCCCCGCCGCCCCCGTACCCCGCTGCCGGCGGGGCCGCCTCCCTCCGCCCACGCGAAACTTTTCGGCCCAACTTTCCCGCTTCCGCCTGCCGCGGGGGAGCGTGGCGGGCGGCGGGGAGCGGCCCTGCGGGTGCCGGCGGCCGCCTCCGGGGGTAGGCACCGGCCAGATGATGCCGGTTAGTGTTCTTAAGGGGGGGGGGGGGGGGAACACGGACAGGGGAGGGGGGTCGGCCGCTGCCGGGCTTTTGGGGAAAGGGGTTTTATTTTGTGTTTTCTCCCTCCTCTGGCTCCTCCTCTTCTTCCCTCCTCCTCCTCAGGGGGAGGGGAGGAGGGAGGCTCTGGGGCAGGAGTAGCCAGAGCAGGGAATTGTTTGGGAGTTCAGTCATCCAAAAGCCGTCTCCCGTATGGAGGGTCTGGCTTCCCGCATCCCGGCGCCTCTTCCCTCCTCCTCCTCCTCCTCCTCCTCCTCCTCCTCCTCCTCCTCCTCCTCCTCCCGCCGCGCCTGAGCTCTGTGCGGCCCCCTCATCCTCAGCAGCAACCCGCAGAAAAAACACAACCACCACCCCCAAACCAAGGGTCCCCCACCTTCCCCTTCCCCTCGAAAAAAAACAGGCTTTCCCCCTCTCTTTTTCGTTTTCTTTTTTTTTTTTTTTCCCCTCTCTGTATGTGTGTGTGCTGAATTCCCTGCAGATCCGGCCTGGAAGTTCCCAGCTCCTGGAGTTAAGCCTCTTTGTTGCTTCCCTTCGTTTGGGGCATCTTTGTGTTTTCCCCCGCCTGCTCCACTGGAGACCGCGGTGAGTGAAGCGAAGGGGGCCCGGGCCTGGGCGAGGGGCCGGGAGGACAGCTGTGGCGGGCGGCGGGGCGCAGGGCTTTCCCCCCGCTTCTTCAGCCGGCGGCGGCCAATCTTTGTGTCAAGAGTTTGGGAAGTTGGTGTGGGGATGCGGAGAAGGAGGTCTGTGACAAGGGAGGAATGGAGACCCACTGGCCCTCACCAGGACGGGGCTTGTTCTCACTCGGGCAGGTGAGATGTGGCGGGCTCGGCCGTTTCCCTCCAGCTCTTCCTCCTCAGTTGGTTTAATGGAGGGCCCAGTGCATGCACACAACCGCAGTGCTCCGGCCCTTGCCTGAAACTTCCCCAAAAGCTTGGTCCACGACGTCGCCCCGTCCTCGCCGCTGGATAGCCGAGGAGGGATGGCGCGCGGTGGAGAGAGGAGGAGAGAAAATGTGCAAAATCAGACCCAGATTCGTCCTCTGTTGCGCCAACTCTTGTCAAAAGCTGATGGGAGTTTGCAGGCGAGACCTGGCTCCCGCGGATGCGGAGGCATTTCGGTTTGTGCCCTGTGAAGGGGCTGGTGCTGCTGCTGCTGCACAGAAAAGCAGGGCTGGGTAATCTGCGAGTAAAATTTTTGTCCTCTTCTTGTGCAGCCGTAGAGTTTTTAACCCAGGTGCAAGGATGAGAAGCAGTTTGGGTCGGGGGAAGTAATTTTCTGCTCAGCGGTGGGATGCTGTAGGATTTGTACACGCGTGCCTCGCTGCTTGAACTGCAACTTTGGCAGGTCCTCTGAATGGTGACTGTAAATAGAAAATGTGCTGGGGAGAAATTGGGATGCTGAATTTGTAGCTGTGTCCAAATGAGACTTTTTAAAGTGCTCTGAAGATATTAATGCTTACTTTGAAAAATAGTAATAGACTGTAACCAATACCCCTGGCTGGCAAAAGGTATTTAATACAAATCTTGTATCTTTGGCCACTTCCCCAACTAATTCTGGTACCCCAAGTGTTATTTCACTGGCGTTGTAGGAAAGGCAGTTCAGGTCTATTAAAGGGGTTTTTTTGTCCTTGTTTGTTTTAAAGAAACTCTCTTGACCTCTCCGCAGCATTATGTGAGTGGCATAACAGGAATCTACACGCACACTCTGCGCCCGCGCATAATTCCCTGCATGTCTTAAATTGCTTGTTTTTCTTGGTGCCCAGTTCTCTTAATTCCTACATCACTACCATGGTGTCTTTCTGATACGTTCATTTGCAATCTGCCATTAAAGTTTCTTTTCCCATGGGCTAAAAAATTACCGTGGAAGATATTAGAAGAATGTGGGTGTTTTGTAAATAGGATTTTTATCTTAGTTTTCTTTTCTTTTGAAACTAACTGCCTCAGTGTGCATATGTTTAGAGGAGGGTTCTTGCATATTTATGCATATATACATATATGCAGGCACTTTTATTTGATGGGTTGGATACTGAGGTTTATGGCTCGGGGAAGGATTTCAGCGGAAACGCATCATGGGTTTGCAGTGAAGATTTCTTCTGTTTATTTAAGTGACCTAAAGAAATGAAGGTGAAATAACTTCCCATGCTAATAGGAGTCATCTTGGGATCTTCTGAAGTAGGACAATTAGGAAGAGCTGTGAGCTCCCTGCTGGGTGCATGATATTCTCTGACAATAAATAAATTGAGCTTTATTCTATGTACTTTTCTTAACCCTCCCCTCTAGATACAATTACAGGGACTTATCCTGCATGTGCAACTCAGACAAGGTCCCACTGGGTGTTTGCTGCAAGGTTTGAAGTCAGATACAGTGCAGTCCTCCCTGCTGGTGTAGTTCCCGCTGGGGAAAATGAAGCAGGTTCATCTGAAAGGTGCACAAGGGTTCTGTGCAGATTTGAAAGGCAAGTTCACTTTTCTCCCTCTCGTACACACGCACACCCATGGGACCTTTCTTTGAGAGATATCTCAGTACAAGTAGCTGAATCCAAACACATCTTTCCTCTGCTTGACACAAAGAAGTGTTAAAAGTGAATGTATGTGTACAAACTGGCAAGTAAGTCTTATGGGTGTTCTGTATCCCTACAGCCTGAAAAATATGGCTTTTCTGTACCTTGTACTGACCTGATACAGAAACACAGAGTGAGAGGTTCTTAAAGATTGCAAAGTGAAACCCAGCGCCTGGTATTTGCAGAGTTCTTTCCAGCCTTTTGAGTGTCAGACTCCTGACTTGGAGTTTTGCTCCATCAAAGAACAGGTGAATCATTGCCCAGTCCCCCTCACTCCTTGAAATTCTGCTTTGTCCTCAAAAGTGACAGCAGACAGATTCCTCCAGGCCTTCCGTACCAAACTGGCAGCCCTGCAGTGCTTTCAGGATGCTGGTTCAGCTCCTTCCACCTGACTAGGGCTGGCAGAGTTGGTCCTTTGGGAGCCAGCTGGAGCCTCCTGCTGAGCAAGGAGCGTTGCAGGTGGAGCTGTGAAGCGAGCAGCAGGCTTTGTCCCCATCTTCCCCACTGATGCAAAGGGGAGACTTTCCTGAGTTAAGAAAACTAATCTGTTTAGGACAGATGCGAATTTTTGTAGTTTCTCATCATTATTACTGAATGGCCACGCTTGACTGAACACCAGATCTACCAGCCAGTGCTTCCCAGCCTCTTCCTGAATCACATGTCCTTGGGAGCACAGAAGCCTCGCAATCTGATAACATGCACAGCAAAAAAAAAAAAAAGAACCATTACTACATCTAGCCGGGCTGTGGGAGGGAAGATGGGTGACAGGACAGGAAAGACACTCTTCAGGGGGAAGCATGGGCTCGGATGTGGAGGTGTTCGTGCTGTGTCCTTAGCTGATGCATATGCCACACATGATCTTAAGCAATTCCCTCCGCGGCCCTGTGCCTTGGTTTTCCCATGCAGAAAACGGGACTAAACCCTGTGCTGATGGGGTGAGCACTGTGACGAGGCAGATGCCGCCGTCCATGCTGACTCGTGCCAGCTGACTGGCACCCATCCTCATGTCTCTCGGAGCAGAGCTCAGACGCACCAGGAGGACCCGTTCTGCTGTGCTGAGCCTCCCTGGGACTGCTGCAGGGCTGGAGAGGTACCTCTGCGCCTCTGAAATCACTCCCTTTTTCCAGGCAAAGATAGTCTGTCTCCCCACCCCCACCCCCTCCCCATGTACCTTATGAAGGAGGAGAGCAGGGGCAGGGAAGAGTGAATTGGGGACCATGTTGGTTGTTTTACCCCAGGTTGGCCCACAGGTGGGTTTTCAGAGATCTCGGGCTCAGTCTCTGTTTAGTCACTCAGCCTGCAAGAAGTTACAGCATCAGTAGGCCAGCATAACTCCAGGTTAACAAAAGCTTCTTTGGCAGTAAATAATGGTGGACTGTTCGTTTTCATGCCTGATGCCAAGTGCCTCAGAGGTATGAGGCACAATTCCCTTAGATTTCTTCAGTGTGCAAAGATGACTTGATATGTTACTGCTGGCATACTACAGACCAAAGCTTGCAAATCTCTTGGTTTAAACTGTTACCTGCCAGGCTAAAAACTTTGCAGTGCGAAGTCTACGGTTAGGATGGGATATCCCACAAGGAAAAAGCTCTCTTGCAAAATCTTCGGAGACTTCCTGTTTCTGGTTAGACTGAAAACATCCTGAGGGAAAAACCTGCTGCTGTGTATTTTGGTGCTCTTGTGGTCAGTCTCAGTTTAAGAGGCTGTTATGTATTCCAGTTTCTAGGCCACGAGAACAATTTAAGGAGAATAATGACTAAATGAATTGCAGGTCCTTAGGTAGAACAGGGGTGAATATCATCTTCCAGTTTTCTAAATGTACTTTGGGTAATTGTTCAGCAAAAGGTATCACAAGCATCTTTTTTTATTTCCTGATATTTGGTTTAGTTCCTTTTGGCCCAGAACCATACAACATCATTTCTGGTGCTTTGTTAGCTGAACATAGCACTTGGAGCTGGTTTTCTGGAGGGAATGCTTGCAGGATGGGAAGCTTTTGAAATTTGCTTCATATGCATATTTGTGCATTAGAGTTTTTTAAAATCAACTCTCCACAGGCGCGAGTGCTCCAGCAACACAGCTGTATGAGCGTTCGTGGGAAGCTAAGACAAAAGGAGCACGGATGCAGTGGAAGCAAGTCAGCTGAAGAGCTCAGAAAGATACTTGTTGCAGGGGAAAAAAAAATGCTCGAAGCTTACACAGTCCCAAAGCTGTCACAGGCAGTGCAGGGCTTTCTACATAAAGCGGGAGCAACAGATCCCTGCCCTGAGGATGGTGCATGCTCCTTTTATTAAAATGGCCTCTCTTCTTCCCTGCAAAAGGACAAATGGGGTGGGAGGCTCAGCTGTGCCTGATGGGGTTGTTAGCAGCAGAGCACCTGGCACAGCACAGACAGGGTGCCGGAGAGGGGCTCTCAGCGCTGCCGTTGTGTGTTGTAGGAGCTCTTGAGTAAGCGTCAGTGCCAATTTATTTTGGCTCTGGTGGGATCGATGGAGGGAAATGTGCTTCAGGGAGCGTGTGGGACGTGCTTGAGCTTCTTCGCCCTCCTCACGGGCAGCGTGCCAGCACAGAGGTGAGAGCCAAACTTTACCCTTGCTTTCTGCTCAGCTGCTCTGGGGAGGCTGCTGCCCTGTGGCCAGAACCCTTCCCCAAGCTCCCCTTAGACGTGAGGGTGGTGACTGCACCTTGTGCCCGTGCAGCATGTCGGAGGCTTGCTGGGCAATGTCCAAACCACACCGCAGCGTGTTGCCCCTACGAAAACCCACTGTTGTCGAGTTCACAGAGGTTTTGGGCTGTGGTGTCTCTATATATGTCTGCGAAAGCCAGATGGTGTTTTGGAAACCGGTCATTTTTCATTAACTTCTGTGCCCGACATAGGCAGTAAGTCTTTCACCCTGAGCCCTGTTGCGGCAATGCCATTTTGACTCTCTAAGGTCCACTCTGGCAAAGAGATTAGCCAGCAGGTCGTACGCGTATGCAGAGCCACAGTCCTGGGGCCCTGCCAAATGCAAGGATGTGCTCACTGG